ATGCAGCCGACACTGCAGAGCAGCACCCTTTAAAACCACAGGTCTAGACAACGGGCCGTTTTGACACACTCGCCATGACAACGAAGATAAGGGACTGTTTTTTGGGGTGGGGCCAATTACTTTATTCATTTATGCTAGAGCCAAAAGCACAGAATGTGTTCTACAATGATTTATTTCTTCTCTTAATACTTACCTATAACAACTTATGGTGATCTAGAGCCTCATCTAAGAAGTTTCGCCGTCTCCTTTGAAAGAAAATTTCAAGCGTTCTTCATACAGTGCCACAAAATCATTCCTAGTTGTTTGGGATTTTCTATAACCGTATGCATAATCATTTGAAATTTAATAACAGAGAGGGTAAAACAAAAACTCTTATTGTTTTGAAATTGAAGCTACAGTGTGTGGGATCGGCAGTCATATCCTAACTGGTAAACAGAGCCATTAGCGCTAATGATAGAGTGTGTTTGAATACAATGTGCATTAGGATGAAGTGTGGGCTTCATCCAAACAGATTCTGTGAGTCCATAGCAAGTCGCTCGCACAAGCTACGGCCCCGTGTTAACTATTAGTAGTAGTATTCATCTCCAGCCAAATTGAGACTAAATCAGCTGACTGAACTAACTTAATTCAGCAATTAAGACATCAGGGGGAAAAGGTTCACACAAGAGCTGCTGCTTTTGTACTTTATGTAGGAGACATACAAACCATGCAGATGTTTTGAGAGCTGGGAACCAAACCAACAAGTCTGCATGCTTTTCAGCATCTGGTTTCATCAGAGTCAACAGTTCAGACAGGGTGATACTCAATACATTGTCCATATTAGCATATGATATCAGCTGGTCTATATTCGTTATATACTCATGTTTTTTTTTATATTATTTAAGATATTTGCATAATGTCTCATATTGACTATACAAAAAAAATGAAAGGGGTCCAATGTTGTTTTGGACCCCACTGACTTTTATTGGATGGGTAAAAAGAGTCAAAACATTCTTCTTTGTATTATTAAGAAGAAATGCATATGTTTGTTTATCTACAACTAAAGTGGTTCTCAATTGCTTTTGCTTCAGGACCCAGATTTATGTTGGCCATCAAGTGATGACACAACACATTGTTTAACATGGGCACAACAATATGCAAAATTAGTAACACTGCATAGACAGAGCAGGAATAGAATTACATTTTTTTAATTTGCATTTATTTTTCTTCCTTACTGTTTACAACCCTATCACAAAAGACCTGCAACCCATTTTTGAGTTGTGACACACCAACCACAGTATCAGACAACCTGCTAAAAACAAAACTGGCAACATCCACTAGGATAAAATAGAAGGTATGGACTGACGCAAGAGACAATCCAAAAAACAAGTAAAACAAAACCTTCCAGGAAACCAAACACAATTCCAAACAAGACCTCCAGTGCTGAGAGCTGCTCTCTTTTGCCACCCAGTGAAATCAACATTTATAAGAGTGGTAATGAGCGTTTTCCTTCCCGCGTGACAGTGCTAATTACATTAGCATGAGCTATGAAATATGAGCTAGCTGACACACAGTTCCCTCAGAGGATGATGAAGGAGCAGGCCTATTTTTTAATAAACACGGTGCTGGCGAAATATCATCTCCTAACTGCCTTTGTATCGAGCCGCATGCACTTCTTCTGCCAAGATCCACCACTGACTCCCTAGGAATTTATGTACAAATAACTACTTTTTAATAGCCCTGTAATATGATTTCCTGCCAAAGAAATATTCAAATAGCTCTCAAAACCAGTACAGTATATTATCAGCCCCAAGCTAAACTGGATGTGGAAGGGTGGAAAAAAAGAGACAGATTATTTTTCACACTGTAATTATTATACCATTGTCATCTGTGGGAGAGGAAGAAAGACAGGGCAATACTGCACCATGTTTCACTAGGGAGCACACAGCATTGTTGTCTAAGAATCAGGTACAAAACACAAACAGTAATTGTCGCATTTAATTACCGTAGTAATTTACTTTGCCCCATCACATTTATCACACATTTTCCTCATTGGATTACAAAATAATGTCTCTTTCATTAAGGGCGATTGGAAATGAAAGCGTGGCTGTTTTTGTGTATGTGCACATTTTAAATTGCTTACTAAATGCAAATGGGTGTGTGAACTCTGCAGCATAAAGCACACATGTGGTTATTATATTTTCCGGGTTTGTGACCCCGACGTTCTTTTATGTGGCCTTAATGAAGCAACCGCAGGCTTCTGAGACCACCGTGACATTCGTTTCACAGTGTCACTGAAAGAATTTCACTACTTCTCATGTGACCATTATGGTACCATGGACTGCAGAAGTGAATGAATTGCCTTGGCACTGTGGCTCACTTTCCATTGTTGTGCTTTCCATTAAGACTAGGGAGCGGTTGCAAAATCCCACAGTGGATTGCATATGTGTGTGCCAGGAAAAGTCTGAATGTTTGGGTAGAATGCATTGCTGAAACGCAGAAAATAAGGGAAAAATGAACTGAATGTGTGGAGAACAATATAATTTAAAAAAATCTGTTTGATTCAGGGACAAACAACAAAGTGGAACAAAAACTATACAAGACCACGTTCATAGCTCATGAGAATTGTGGTGGAAATTGTCAGTGGCATCTGAAATGGGGAAATTATCTCTAGCCATCTACAGTCCAATTTCAATATACACTACCGTTCAAAAAGTTTGGGGTCTATAATTTTCTTTAATGTTTTTGAAAGAAGTGCTCAACAAGGCTGCATTTATTTGATTAATAATCGAGTAAAAACAGTAACAATGTGGTCAACATCTGGTCACTTTTGATCACATATACATATATACATAAACACACACACATACATATATATACATATCCATATCCATATATATATATATATATATATTTTTTTTTTGGGCCATACAGGGCATTAGTAATCCAGACATCAACACTCCAGTTCAAGTGCTTAACACAGTGTGTGTGTGTGAAATTGTACGGTAATGCTTTCTGGAGATGAGACTCTTCACAGCAGACCTCCAGGAACCCAAAGAGAGCCGGATAACCCAGCGGCCTCACTTCATGCGAGCCAATCAGACCTGTGGGCTCAAATCTCCCCATACACTCCCTCCTCTCAAATGGAAAAGAGTCCCAAGCTGTTCTGTTAAGCATCTGTGTGTATGTGACAATTTGAGAGTATGTGTGAGTAAAATAAAACCAGTGTGATTCATAAAGTATAATTGATCACCACTTAAAAAAACACTTAATATATATGTAAAAATCAATATTCTTGATGCAACATTTTTCTTTTCCACACAGAGCTATGCAGCAGAGTTTGTGCTTTTGACTGACCAGCTAATCTGCAGCAGCAAATAATAAATAAAAAGACACCAAAGCAGATGTGATTTGTTCTCGGTGATGCTCAGTACGATTTTTTATATTTCCTCTTTTGCTTTCTCCATCCCTCCCTACTGCTAAGGCCTCCAAACACCCCTCATCCAAATTCTCCCTCTCTGTCTCGCTCTAATGAATCATCCAGAACTTTTCCTTCAAAGAAAGATGATAAAGCCCCTCTGGCACAAACACATATTGCATGCATTCATCACCACACAGATTTAAGGTATGTCAGCTTGCACCAACAGCTCAAGCAATCGCACACACATATATACACACACACAGAGCCGGATAACCCAGCGGCCTCACTTCATGCGAGCCAATCAGACCTGTGGGCTCAAATCTCCCCATACACTCCCTCCACTCAAATGGAAAAGAGTCCCAAGCTGTTCTGTTAAGCATCTGTGTGTATGTGACAATTTGAGAGTATGTGTGAGTAAAATAAAACCAGTGTGATTCATAAAGTGCAAATGTCTTTGTTTTCGACAAAAAAATTAAATGTGCATGCTGTATTAGACAGAAAACATGGACATGCGTGCACTCTTATGGCCAACTGATGTCCTTGTCACCTCTCTGAGCGTGTGTGTAGCACATCAGGAGTGACTTTGACAAGCTGATAATGGGGCTCTTTTTGGGGGCTGGTGCTGTGTGGAGCCCCTCTGCACACTGCGCTTATCTGGCTCTCTCTGGGGAAGTGGACAGAGAGAGAAAGAGAAAAAAAGAGATTCTCAACTGAAGCTTGCACCCTTATCGCTCTGACAGCCGCCGTTTACATGAGAGCGGAGTGCCAGTCAGATCATTTACAGGAACAGATTAATACTGCCCAATGTGTCTTTCTCTCTCTCACTCACACACACACACACACTACAGAGGTCTGTCTGTGACCGCATGCACATTTTCCCTTTTCTTCCTATCTTTTGTCACTCTAGGCTGTCTCACACTAGCCTTTGTGCACTGCAGTGTGTGTGCACTGTGAAATAGATGCAGTCTATATGGAGACTCACTCAGAACTATTGATGGGAAATAAGAGAGCACATTAATTCAAGTGTCTCACTGAGGACTTGTACTTTCCAACTTTACTAACTTTTGAGAGAAAATAGCTATTGTTTACTGCAGCAAATGCAACCATATATAGATAGAATGAGATAAAACAATGGATGGATGGATGAACGTTACAGTTGCCAAGCAAAGTGTAAGGTCCCTGCACTTTTAGACCAATGAATTTCTATAACTTTTCCTAGACAATTTGTAAAAATGATTTCATAGACACTGCACTCAGTGTTACCTAAGCTGATTAAATGTTTTAGCGCTGAGGATTTAAATTTATACATATGTAATTAATTTTATAATTATTTATATATAATTTATTATGTGTTGTCGCAGGTGTTGCATTTGTTGCATTTCACAACTGTTTCAGATGTGGCTTTTTTTTCACCACACAGATTTAAGGTATGTCAGCTTGCACCAACAGCTCAAGCAATCGCACACACATATATACACACACACACGGTTTAATATATCTACAATTTAAGAGGAGCCCATGGTGCTCAGTCTCAGCAGATCGGTTTCGGTCTTAAGTTGCTGCTGTGCGTTTGCCCACTCGCCGTGTCCACTCCTGGTCGTCTCGGGACCTTGACGCTGCTGTCAGATAAAGGCACAGCTCTATTCTGCTGTGGACAGATGAGGCGGCGAGTAGACAGGTAGGCAGGCAGCAAGCGTGGAAAGGGCAGACGGAGAGCTGAATACTCATCCAGGGATTCACACACGACAGCTGACTGGTATTTAAGATCTCACGTACTGTACAGAGCAGGGCAAAATGCACAAACATTAGTGCTCCCTCTTTTTCTGGATGCAAACACACACACAGTGGCACACACACACTCTGACTAAAACTTTCCTTTATCAGCCTCAAAGTGTCTTTGAACCCTGAACAAGTAGCACTTTCCTTTAATTGCAGTCTGTCACATATTTTAAAGAATAGTTGTTTGGAAGGGTGAAAATACATCAATGTCTGTCTGTTTAAAGAATTGAGAGAAAAGTAGAGGTGCACAAAAATTAGTGCTCCCTCTTTTTCTGGATGCAAACACACACACAGTGGCACACACACACTCCGACTAAAACTTTCCTTTATCAGCCTCAAAGTGTCTTTGAACCCTGAACAAGTAGCACTTTCCTTTAATTGCAGTCTGTCACATATTTTAAAGAATAGTTGTTTGGAAGGGTGAAAATACATCAATGTCTGTACATTTAAAGAATTGAGAGAAAAGTAGAGGAGGAATAAAAGACAAAGAGTGGCAAATGGTCATCCAGACTTAATGAAGAATCCTTCTCATTTCCTAGTGAGTTGCATAATGAGGGAGCATTTAAGGTATTATAGGCGTGTTTCATAAATAAAGGCTGTTCCAAATGCTAAGAAGCTTAAAGTTCACCTCAAAATGTTTTTTTTTCATTATTTACTCATTCTTATGTCATTCCAAACCTGTATGAGTTTCTTTCATCTGCAAACACAAAATAAGATATTTTAAGCAATGTTGATTTTGTCCATTCAGTCAAAGTCAATGAGGTCTAAAACAACGTTTGATGAAGCAACATTCATCTGAATTATGAATTTAATTCATTCAGTACTGAAAAGAATTGAAAAAGCTAATTGAGTGAAATGAATGACATTTATTTAGTTTCATCTTTCTTTGTGCTAACTGTTAGCTCACAATGTTAAAAAAATAATACAAAAAAATACCAATATATGGCAGTGTTTGCAAACATTTTTTCTCTCTCTCTCTCTCACGCACACACACACACACACACACACACCACACAAATGTTTATTGACATTATTTACAGCAACAGCTGCAGTATGCTTTTCTCTACGGATGAGTTCATGTTTTCCGTTATTAAAATAGCACTTGCCCTGTATTTTCAGAACCCAGTAGCTTTCTAAATCACACTAGCTTGATAGTATTTTTATAAAGTATATTTCTGTTAAATGTGTGTTTTGTCTGAATCTATGCTGTAGAAGTAATAAACTACAATAAAAACAACAATAACAATGTGCCATTATAAGAAGGTCTGCAGAATAATTACACATGTAGTGCATGTAGTTCATTAGAATGAATCAGCCCCATATAATTAACCCTGATGTAAAGTGTGAATGTGTAATCTACAGGTGCATCACAATAAATTAGAATGTCGTGGAAAAGTTCATTTATTTCAGTAATTCAACTCAAATTGTGAAACTCGTGTATTAAATAAATTCAATGCACACAGACTGAAGTAGTTTAAGTCTTTGGTTCTTTTAATTGTGATGATTTTGGCTCACATTTAACAAAAACCCACCAATTAACTATCTCAACAAATTAGAATACTTAATAAGACCAATAAAAAAAACATTTTAAGTGAATTGTTGGCCTTCTGGAAAGTATGTTAATTTACTGTACATGTACTCAATACTTGGTAGGGGCTCCTTTCGCTTTAATTACTGCCTCAATTCGGCATGGCATGTCGCCACCACGGTTTCTTGTCTCCATTGGCAACACGCACGATTTGTGTCAATTGCAGTGGCCGTCGCAGGTATCAGAGAGTGCAAGTGGCAATTGCAGGTGACATTGTAATTTAGTTTCTTTTTTCTCGTCTTCACCACCTGGCTACTGTTGTAAAATGTCGAGAGATTCAAACAAAAAGTAATCAATAAATAGAACAAAATAAAAATTAACTGTTCTAAGCACGTTAACTGTTTTTACCAATACCTTATTTGCCCAAAATCCTGAGCTAAGCCTTAAATTCTGAGGTGGATTTGAAAGTATGTGTACTGTTTCTTTGCCAGTAAGCCGAAAAACAGTCAGTCTGACTCTTAACACATAGATGCTGGGTAAAATCCATCTCCATTTGTACGAAAAATCTAAACGTTTCTGTCTGAAAGGATTTTTACTGATGGTATCAAAATTATGTTGTTTTGTCTTCTGAAAAATAACTTGTTTTCATAATACAGTAGCCTTTTTGGTCTGTAGCTATTTTTGTTATACTTTATGGTCCTTATCTCGTGCCATTATTCAATGTGAAGTCTCAGTTTTACTGTATGTATTTATTTTGTCACTATGTGTTGGATTTAACATTGACAGATACTTACAAGAGACATTTTGCCATATTGCCTCTGATTGGCTAGATCTGCCTTAATAACTAGAAGAATAAGAATTTAAAAAAAAGAAGAGGAAGAGGAGGAAGAACTATTTTGGTCCCACTCTATATTGGGGGTCTTTAAATACTATTTTACTGAATAATATGTTATATATGTTCCTGTGGTTCAGTGGTAGAGCATTACGTCAGCAGTGCAAAAGGTCTTGGGTTCAATTCCCAGGGAACACACATACTGGTAAAAAATGTATAACCTGAATGCACTGTAAGTCGCTTTGGATAAAAGCGTCTGCTAAATGCATAAATTTAATTATTAAATTATACATTATTATTAATTATTATTAATAAAATAATGGATTGTTAGGTACAATATACCTATTGTGTTCCAGTTGAATTGCTAAACAAACACTTTTGCTGCTATTGAAGTGGGATTGGTGGATTAGTGATATGGCTAGGTTTAAGGTGTAGAGGTAAGATCAACAGTGTAATTATAGAGATATCTACAGAAATTAATTTCAAATGTAATTATTTTTAAATATATGTACAATGAAAAATCATGGTTGTACACAATAAGTGCATTGTATCATATGTAAAATTTGAAATTTAAGGTGTTACAATCAATGTTAATTGATTAATCAATGAAATAATATATAAGTGACTGCTAACCTAATTTCTATGAAAATTCTACAGTCATTCCCCTTCAACCAATTTCTATGTAAAATCCCTTTCATATATTAAAAATTATGTTTATACAGTGGTGGGTCATCAGGGTCCTTCTCTGCTGGCCCTATAAAAAATAAAATTCTGTGAAAATGGTTTTTTTATTATTTAGGTATCATTTTCATTTGTGTAATGTCCACAAAATGGTCTATGATTAGTTTCGTTGAGGTTGAACTGGAATATCCTACATTAAAAAAGTCTGCGGCCAGCACTACAGATAGTGCTACCCTTTTGTTCAAAGACGTCGCATGTGATTTGTAACGAGCATTATAGTGACGGAATCATCAGCCATTCAAATTTTGACGTTCAATGACACGTCAAGGCCCTCTGGGTCTAGCGACGTGCCCAGTGCTACCCCCAGCCTTTAGTTGGGAATTTCCAAGGTATGAAAGTGAAATTCAACGAAAAGAAAATGACAGCCGCAGTCGCCGGCGCCTACACAAGATCTTGTTGCCGATCTACTAAAAATGCCTTTTTCAAGGCGCTCTTTTGTAGACAAAAGAGGAATAACTGAGAAAGGAAGACCTACACCCAAACTGAATTCGCTAACAAAGGTTTTGTGCGCCATTTCAAAGATTGCAACTACGAGTGCTATGAGTGGCTAACAGCTAGCACCAAGCACAACAAGTTATTTGGCCATGTTTACTTTTTAATACGAGTAAGGGACACGGAATGGGAATTTGCATAGTGACCCGTGTATTGGTGGATTACTTTTACTGATCCATGTAAGAAAATTTACTCTGCATTTAACCCACCCTAATCTAGCCTACTGTTGAAATTGTTGATCAGCTGTCATTGTTGTTGAGAGCCTGTGTGCAGCAAAATATGCGCATTATATGCATATGGCTGCGTTAGCTGTAACAGAGATGTGTAAGATAGTTGTGTAAGGGTATGTAGTTTACAGTTGCTTACTGAAGGCCCTGACTGAAACCCCACGGTACACCACTGGGTTTATATAATATTTAGAGTGCCTCCACTGGGACAGAAAGCCTGTCCCTGTTATCTGTTTACACATAAGCAACACATATGAAAAGAAAATCTGAAAGCTCTGCTATCAATTTACACATACACAGACACACAAAACAAACCACTCTAAAGGACAAATGCTCAGAATAAATACTAAAAGTAGGAGCAGCAGTTCAGGGCTCTGGTCAAAACCTCTTTCTATCTGCAGAGCAACACAGTGTGCACACAGGCTGGCCAAAACAGCAGCTAGACAACAGAGGTCCGGCCAAATCAATACTAATGAATTCTGAGGTTGAAATTGCAGACAGATTTCATTGTGGCCTGGACTTCATAAACAATACATTTTCATTAAGACCTGCAAAAGAAAACTTAGCGAAAAACAACAACCAGGGCCGCTGGATGGAAAACTACTTGTAGACATCTGATACTACAGTGATATTGTTATGTGCTGTGTATTGTATTACAGTCATACACTGACCATTAAACGCTCTCATATTTGGTCTTATAAACATTAAACTGATTGTAACAGTGGCAGGGATGTATGCAGTGTAGCAGCTAGCTCATACAGTTATGTCAACCTCACCTATCAACATCTTACTTTGTGCAAAGGCAAATTAGTTTACCATTGACTGATTTCTAAATACTGATCTGTGTGCTGTGGTGTGGTACAGTAACGTAATTAGTATATGGAAAATGTCACTGAAACAAAAAGAGTGCAGTATTGCTAAAAGAGAAAGAAGGAGCGTGATGAGTGAAGGTGGGTTGAAGTAGCAACCTTGCAATTACAGAGAGGATTGAAAGTCTGAGTCCACATTGAAAAGATGAGATTAAAAATTTATTTTAAACCTAGAAAATATCAAGAGTGATGAAAGAATAACTTTTCAACAAGCTAGAAGTTATGGCACAAAATGAAAAAATAAATATTTCAGATTTTGCACTTCTAATTGATCTCCTTCAAACAAAAGGTCTCATCAGTCAGTAAAAAACAAACTCCTAACGAAAGAAAACCTGTAGTGATCATTTGTTGGAATCAAGGGCTTTCTTTAACCTTCTTTAAAAGGCTTGTTACAAGATGCTCTTTGGATCATTATGAAATCATGCTCGATTACATCAGGTTTTTCACAAACTTGTCGAGCTCATGGAGCTCAAGTGCAAGTGCAATTCTAAATTAACAAAAATTGTACTAACAATATCATTTGTAATAGGGAAAATTATATTGAATATAAAAAACAAAAACAAAAACAAAAAAAGAAATACAATCCCATGGAACAAAAATTATGTTCATCCGTATTTCGGATGAGACGTTAAACCGAGGTCCTGACTCTCTGTGGTCATTAAAAATCCCAGGATGTCCTTCGAAAAAGAGTAGGAATGTAACCCCGGCATCCTGGCCAAATTCGCCCACTGGCCTCTGACCATCATGGCCTCCTAACCATCCCCATATCTGCTGATTGGCTTCATCGCTCTGTCTCCTCTCCACCAATAAGCTGGTGTGTGGTGGACGTTCTGGCGCAATATGGCTGCCGTCGCATCATCCAGGTGGATGCTGCACACTGGTGGTGGATGAGGAGATTCCCCCCTTCTATGTAAAGCGCTTTGAGTGCCCAGAAAAGCGCTATATAAATGTAAGGATTTATAAGAACATTTTGCTAACATTCCCATTACATGTCCAGTTTTAAAATGTTTTAAAAATGAAAGGGAACATTTAATTTTATCATTATCCTATCAACAAACATTATGGGAACATTACTTTTGAATGTTCTCTCTACGTTCGGAAACAAGTAACATTAAACATAAAAAAATGGTAGACGAACGTCCAACTAAAATGTTTCCGGGAAAAAAAAAAAATCGAATTCATGAATGATGTAGTAAAAAAATTTTGTGCTAATGTTTTGGGAACATTTTTAAAGACAGATAGCTTTGAACCAACATTCTATTAACATTACCGGAAGAACATTTGAAAGAACTCTGCCAGAATGTTAGCCAAAGTTCTGAGAACATTCCCTGTTAGCTGGGATAGAAGCTTGACTCCACTGTATTTTCAGTATAATCTTCAAACAAAGTGACAGGTACAACGTAATACTTTTAAAATGTAGTAGATTTACTTTTTTTTTTTGCCCACAATGGATGGAACACATGAAAGCAGTCCAAGAAAATCTGGCCTGGTTGTTCCACCAATGGCTAGAATCCAGTCATGTGACCAGCTGTTTGAGATCACTAATGGATGCGGCATGCCGTACCACAGGCTCAGAGTGTGATGCTCACTGCATATTCTATTGTTGTCTTTAACAGAAGCACTGAACGATTCTCACGACAGTTGGAGATTAAAATATCAACCACCCACACGAGAACCTTCAAGCAATCAAAAACACAATAAAAGAAGAAACACTGTAATACGACACACCTGTGGGACTAAAGACATGATCTAGAATACTTCTGATTTAACTTATTTGTAGATTAACTAACTCTAACATCCTGATAATTCTTTATATTTCCTATTGGCACTAGCTTACTAAAGTGAGCCTTGAAATGAAAAGGGAAAACAAATGGATGTTTGTGGAACTTAATCAAGTATACTTTAACCCATATTTCTTAGGTTAAAGAAGTCTTAGGATCTGTAAAGCCTTAATAGTGCACCTATTGTATGCAAACCCGTGCCTCTGAAGATCATAAGGCAATGTGTAAATATCACTGCCTCTTTAGTACAGATCAACTCGCATTAAATTCTCACCTAGCAAATAAACGGCCACAACACCATCTCTTAGAAGAGATAAACATGTTTTTATGTGAGCGTTTTGTGGTGTTAGTATGATGTCGCATTAACTACAAGTAAACAGGTGTAGATTGCTCTTGGGAGATATTGCATTGCTCTGAACTGCTCAAAGTCAGAGCAAACATTTAAAGAAAGCACCTTAGTGTGGAGTTCATGTATTAGAGAGCTAATGAAGGCATTCAAACACTTGAATATTCACTGATAGCACAACCAGACGGTCATTTTAGCTAATTAAACCCTGGCAGGGTTATCAGGACCCCGACTCAGAGAGGCGGAAACTCAACAAATAAATAAATATGAGGGCATGAAATATTGATTTGAATTAAAATTATTTTAAAATATTTCCTGTATATTATCTTTCAGCTTCCGCTGAGAAAAATTTCACTGAGCTACTTCTCCTTTTTTTTTTTGTAAACATGCTCTAGACAGACATCTTTGACCGTTCTATGACCCCTAACAGTTTTACAGTAATGTTTATAAAGAAGTTCTCCAAGATCATTTTCACTATTGATAACAAAAATACAAGATGGCACCAGTTGCCTATGTATAAAACAAGAGAGAGCAAGTATACGGTGTAATGAGAGGAGCATCAAGTTAGATTACCCAGAACGCTCTGTCATAAGAAAAGTGCCATGAACGACTGCAAATATTAGGAAGAATTTAACATCTGGATTGAAAGTTTGACCAATCAGAATGTTATATATTTATCTCTGAAAATAATATTATTGCAGACTCTCAACAAATTAAGAATTAGGTGGACATCAGAAATACTGTCCATATAACACACATAATCTCAACATAACTTCTAATGTAACAAAACTAAACTGTGAACACATTTCACTAAACATGTGGTAGCACATGAAATCAGCAGAATGGCACACTATTACACTTAACTAACTTGTCATCTAATTTGTACATAAAACATCAGAACTAGCTGCAGTGCATTCTGGGAAACCCTGGACGCCACATTATATCATAAACTCATACGCAAGTTTATATCCATCTCCCTTCTCTATTCCATTTGAAATGACTGAAAGATGAATTATCCCCCAAAGCCTTTGCATGTTATCAATATGTGTATGTGATGCTGCTAGCAGCCAAGGTGAGGTTAGTGGTAAATGCAATTCTCACTCTTCCTTTGGGAGTGGAGGTGATAATGGAGGTGGATAGTGCGGCCCAAATCACAGATTACAGCTGAATGTATGAGAGGGTCTTTTTCTCCTCGTCTTCTCTCAGAGACTAGAGAGATATGTAGCGGTAGAAAGATCAAGGCCACCACACATACCAGAGTGTGTTATCATCTCTGTGCATCTCAGAACTGTGGAGTGGATGGGGGAAGACTGTAACACAGTGCGCTCCCTGGGGAACCTGCCTGAAGGGGTGCGAATGCAGCTATCATGTTTCAATTCCTCCATTCGCTTCAAACATTATCCGGCCATCAGTTTTGCTTACTGCAGTTTTATTTAAGAAGCATGCTCCTGAACGGCAACAGCACCAGGTACAAACCTATAGGAGAAAAATTATTTTTCAGTTCTGATATTATCAACAGGTAAAGAGTAGTTTGTGACATTGCTAAACACTGGATCACAGAAGCAAATATGATTGCCATTTGTTACTCATTCGTTGCACGAGTTGGCCACTGTGCTTCAATCAAAGCATGTGATAGTACACTTGGAGGGACTGTCTCTGCGGGTTAGCCAGCTGTGCATTGCGCTTACAGCATGACTGTGATCTCAGGAGCTCCAGTTTTTGGGTCACCCTTCCCATTTATCTAAATGCCTGTTCACACCAAGAGCAAAATGCAAAAGTGAAGCTAACTGGCAAAAATAGTCCTACTCGCACTATGAGCGAAACGAAAAAGCACTATGGACATTCACATGATTTAATAGAAAACACATTACTGTAGATGACAGCAGAGATTAATTCAAATGCCCCACAAAAACCATAAACAGCTAGTAACACTCCAAAGAGAAAGGAAAACTTGAAAACGCATCATATGACCCCTTTAAGAAACACAATGGCTTTCAGCATTGATGATGAGAAATTATTAATAATAAATCAAATATTAATAAAATTAATACAATCATTTAATTAATTCAAATGTATAAAATTATAATAATAATAATAATGAGAAATATTAGTATGGTTTCTGAATTATCATGTGACACTGAAACAGGAGTAATGACTGCTGAAAATTCAGCTTTGCCATTACAGGAATAAATTATACTGAACAAAATTATAAACGCAACACTTTTGTTTTTGCCCCCATTTGTCATGAGCTGAACTCAAAGATCTAATACTTTTTCTATGTACACAAAAGGCCTATTTCTCTCAAATATTGTTCACAAATCTGTCTAAATCTGTGTTAGTGAGCACTTCTCCTTTGCCGAGATAATCCATCCACCTCACAGGTGAGGCATATCAAGATGCTGATTAGACAGAATGATTATTGCACAGGTGTGCCTTAGGCTGGCCACAATAAAAGACCACTCTAAAATGTGCAGTTTTATCACACAGCACAATGCCACAGATGTCACAAGTTTTGAGGGAGCGTGCAATTGGCATACTGACTGCGTCTTGAAACTGTGGACACTTTGAATCACTTTGAGACTTTCTTTTTGACGCTTTTTGAATCTTTTTCCTCTTCAAATAACTTTTTGCCATTTTTTGCTGGAGCAAATGGATGGACTGTTTTTTCCTTTAAAGAGACTTGTTGGTGGTTTAAAAATAATTTTTTTTACACTACCTCATGAGACTATTACAACCAAGTGCCTCTTGTCTATTGACTAATAAGGACTCTTGTATGGAAAATGATCAATATCACAATTGTGAATGTATGCTTGTTGCAGAAATACTGAAACTAAAAAAAGAGTTGTAGAAAAAAAAAATGTACAAGGAAAATGTTGATAACAGTGCTGTAATATCTTATGTTGGAGATAACTGCTGGGTCAAGTTAAAAGTTTAAATACTGTAAATTGAGCATTACTGTGACTAATTAAGCAATTTGATGTCAGGACGACATCTTTACTTTGAGGGAGAGAGTGTGGTATGCTGAATAAGGGTTTATCATAATAGTTATTGCTTCAAATTAATATGTTATATTGTATATTGAGATGGATGTGTGTGATTGGGTGAACGAAAATGTGCGCGCCAGTGCGTGCATTTGTAGAGGGAGTTCTCGCGATATGCTTCATTCATGATAAAGCATCGGTGAAGAAGCATCGCTTGAACGCAATTCATTTCATATCATCCTTTACAGGTATAGAACGTACAAAAGGCACACCATCATTGTTCTAATCGCTTTATAAGAAAGACTGTTTTCTATATTAATTGTTTTTCGAGATGCATATAAGTGCTATGTCCGTAAACTCTGTGTTTAATGTTAACAATCAATTCCGAGCACATGGTTAGCATAAATGTGCCGCGATTAGCGCGCACGCTGGTGATTCTGAAATGAAGTACAGAGTATATATGTACTGTTGTATGCATTTCATGTTATACTTTATTAATTATATGTGTTTGTTATTCTTTATTCCTTACTTCTGTTATTAGTTTATTTCATGCTTATTCACTGATAGTGTGTGTATGAAGTCATGAGTAGACTATGTAGTCAAGTGGACATATTTGCATACCTGGCATGAATGAAATTGTGAAAAGTGGTTACCAAATGCCATCAATAAAATGCACCTGTGTTCGTTGTCCATAACATACGCCTGCCCATACCATAACCCCACCGCCACCATGGGCCACTCGATCCACAACGTTGACATCAGCAAACCGCTCACCCACACGACGCCATACACGCTGTCTGCCATCTGCCCTGTACAGTGAAAACCGGGATTCATCCGTGAAGAGAACACCTCTCCAAAGTGCCAGACGCCATCGAATGTGAGCATTTGCCCACTCAAGTCGGTTACGACGACGAACTGCAGTCAGGTCGAGACCCCGATGAGGACGACGAGCATGCAGATGAGCTTCCCTGAGACGGTTTCTGACAGTTTGTGCAGAAATTCTTTGGTTATGCAAACCGATTGTTGCAGTAGCTGTCCGGGTGGCTGGTCTCAGACGATCTTGGAGGTGAAGATGCTGGATGTGGAGGTCCTGGGCTGGTGTGGTTACATGTGGTCTGCGGTTGTGAGGCCGGTTGGATGTACTGCCAAATTCTCTGAAACGCCTTTGGAGACGGCTTATGGTAGAGAAATTAACATTCTATTCACGGGCAACAGCTCTGGTGGACATTCCTGCAGTCAGTATGCCAATTGCACGCTCCCTCAAAACTTGTGACATCTGTGGCATTGTGCTGTGTGATACAACTGCACATTTTAGAGTGGCCTTTTATTGTGGCCAGCCTAAGGCACACCTGTGCAATAATCATTCTGTCTAATCAGCATCTTGATATGCCTCACCTGTGAGGTGGATGGATTATCTTGGCAAAGGAGAAGTGCTCACTAACACAGATTTAGACAGATTTGTGAACAATATTTGAGAGAAATAGGCCTTTTGTGTACATAGAAAAGGTATTAGATCTTTGAGTTCAGCTCATGAAAAATGGGGGCAAAAACAAAAGTGTTGCGTTTATAATTTTGTTCAGTGTACATTTTGAAATCTATTAAAATAGAAATATGGTGGTAGTGTAGTATGCAAATATTCTGTTTATAGGCCTGGTTACAGTTGCTCTCAAAATAAATTTGAGTGGCACGTGGAAAGACCTCTGAATTGGTTTTGAGTTTGGTAAAGTTCAATGCTTGTTTAAGGTAGCAGTAAGAGCTTCTAATGTATGTAAAATTGAAGGTTACTGGTGCCCACAAAGCCTAAGAGAACATTATTAGGCAAATCACTGTATTATTGATCTTCAAAAAAAAAAAAAAACCTTCATAGGTGCTTTCCTTTTCCCTCTTTTGGCCAAATCATTCCAGCTTGTCAGAGATATGGTTTACTATGATGAAAAATTTGATCAACATTATGATTGCGGTATGGCTCTCAGATCTGCTTGCATACTAAATCGACACAACTGCATGATGGTTTAAAGCCTCAAGCTTGTAAAGAGATGAGTAAAGATGTGTTTGTCTTTGTACTTTGGGTCTGATTAGACTGGGGGTGGTACAAGACAAATTTGTTTCTTTTCCTTAGATGAGATTACCTAAATAGAATGTTTCACCAAAATAATTTTGCCAAAATGCTTCAAAAGAACCACTGCCAACTTCAACTGAAAGGTCACCTCAAATCACTGTAAACAAGAAAATCACCACTGGATACAACCTACTCATTTTAACTGCTCTTTAGTTAGTACAGCAATTCTCAACGTTTCCCTCAACTGGGCTGAAAGCAAGTCTAGTGGGCCGTATGTCATTTTAGATGACATATAACATCATCAATACAACCAACAGGGTTAATTAGGCTATTATACACCAGTTTATATACACACACATACATATATATATATATATATATATATATTATGAGATAATAACAGAACGCTACCCACATAATTGAACGTGCAATGTGATGAGGTCATATGACAAAGTAGAACGCTGATAATTAAAATGTTTATTGTAGAATGCCAACTGTTTAATTTACATCCAGTTTTATTCAGCAGTATTCCATTGCAAGCACAGCCTTTGACTTATAGTGAAGGACAATGGATACATGTGTAGTAACTGCGTGGGTTACACAGGCTGTCCACATCCAAAAAAAGAAGGAAAAAAGGAATATTATTTTTTTCAATGGTTGAGAAATTATGCACTGCTAACTTTACGCTCTCTCCTTTCTTTATTATCTGTCATTTTTGTCCTTCTAACATCTGCTGCAGTTGGACTACAATATTTTCCACTCTTTCCCTTTTCTTCTCTTCATTTTTCCTTCATAGGCAACAGAGGACAAGCAGGCAGTTGATAGACAGGATCTCCAGGTTTGACCTTCTAAGAGGCTGTGCAATTCCGCCTGTCTCCTTTCCAATCCCTCCCACCAGCCTCTCTCTCACTCTGTGCTAAGTGATGGAGATGCAGCTTCATTGAAAATGACGTCTTAAAGAGCTAGAAAAAGGTTACAGTGGCTGACTTCATGACACGGGTACATTATTTATATCCAACTTCCCTGCAGTGCCTTGGTCGCCTAATTGGTGAAATGAGGGATTTTTATACATCCAAGGGACCAGTAACACACACACAAACACTACAAACTACATTTCTTACAATAAGCTTATGGTCAGTTTTGCTTTTCACTTAAAGTATTTCAATGAAGCTTACTGTAGATTTATGAAAATAACTACTAAATTTCTAAAACAATATGAATTAATACATTGAAAAAAGGAAACCAACCAAAAAATCTGCTCTGTCCCATTCAACATCTACCGTCCCATTCAGGAACGCTCTCCTTAAGTTATAAATTAGCTTCATTCATTGTAATTCACTCCCTGCCTTTGGTTCAATATATGAGCTTGGTTAACGGTCTCTACAGGATATCTTGCTGTTATTATAGATGAAAGCCTCTCTAGGGAGGAATCCGCTCTAAAGCCATCATGCAGTGCTGAAGGAGTGTGAACACAAGGCCAAGACCACGCAGCTCTGAACAGATTATCCCTCTACACCTTTCAATCTATTCCACACCTCCAACTCTTCCATTTACGCCATTCTCTGGAGGACTGGTCTTTAAATAAATGAGATTCAATCAATCAGAGATGATTTGCAATGCATTTATAATGTTAGCTTACACACATGAGGACAGATAGATTTCTGTAGGGGAATTATGTCCTAGAACGCCACTACAAAGAGATGTATTGCATAGGATTTTGGCCTTGAAGGAATTGTTCATCCAAAAATGAAAAGGTTGAATAAATGATGATGGAATTATGTCATTTCAAACCTGTATGAATTTATTTTTCTGCTGATCACAAAAGGTATTTTGAATGTTGGTACAGTTTTAGTTACTATTGGCATTTACTGTCCATTGAAACATTTTTCAAAATGTCTTCATTAATGTTTCACAGAAGAAAGAAATTATATGAGGGTGAGTAAATAGTGGCAGAATTTTCTTTTTTTTTGGGTTGAACTATCCAGAATTTCTCAAAGCAGCATTCAAAGGTTGTCTGTTTTTCTTTTTTTTAGATTTATTTTTGGCATTTTTTGTCTTTATATTGTTATATGACATAGATGAAACAGGAAGCGAAGTGGGAAAGAGAGAGGGGGGCGGGATCGGGGAAGGTCCTCGAGCCGGGATTCGACCTCAGGATGCCTGCAGCACAACGGCGCTTTATATCGGCACGCTGCCCACAAGGCTATCGGCGGTGACAGCTGTCTGCATTTCTGGTTAAAAATTACAGTTTATAATTTAAAATTTACTTCTGAATGGCTCACGACTTGCTTGACCATCAAGCACCTTTTGTTTTCAGTTTGGTGACAATGGCGATTTCATTGGGTTGGGATTACACACTTACATGTCTGTAACTGGAGAGGACAGGGCACAGGTGCAGGGAATGTTCCAAATTATGGTTGGCAAGCCCCGCGACAAGCCAGAATGAGCCACAACATCTGTCTCTGCTGCTCGGCATCCGGCTGATCAGAAGTCAATTATAAAAACGTTAGCACCCCTGCAAAGGTAAATCGCCTTCCATTAGGAATAATCATTGCTCAATGCTTGTGTGTGTGGCACTAATTTAGTTTTGTGAGGGTGCTTTGAGATGAGAATGGGGGTGAAGTGACAGAGGAAGAAGGAGAGTGAGAGAGATTGCTTTAAGCAGTAATTTTCAATAGTCTTGATGGAATCATGTGAACCAAAACATTGACGATACACGCAAACCCACAGATCTGCCTTGTGTCTCTCATTACATTACTGTCTTAAAAAAGGGGAGAAGAGTTGGGCTCTGTGCAGCGTCGCCCATCTGACAGCCCACAAAAGAAAACATATTTAGATTGAATTAAATTGACAGCCCCTTGACATAAGAACTGATTTACAGAGGACAAGATATCACAGCTCAACCCCCCCAATATATAGACTTTAAAGGAAAGCGCCCAGCGAAGACAGACAGGAATATGCTGTTCAAAGATTGGATTTTCTTTTTTATATCTACAAAGGAACATGCATACTCAAACACACACACACACACACACACACACACACACACAAGCGCTTCCCCACATTCACACACACACACACACACACACCGTCCATGATCAGGTTGCAAGCGTCGTGAGAAAATGAGAAGGGCTGTCAGTCAAATGGAGAAATGATGCAGGATCTGTCAGGCCTGCATATACTCAGAAATTGATTGGCAAAACTTTCATAGGGAAAAACTATAGCAAACCTTTGCAGAGTTTCTCATCTCAAGACCTCAGTGAGAACGCCTGTGGAGAGATATTGTGATCAGAGATTTGCAGGGAAAAGGACAGTGCACTAAAACGGTTAGTGCATTGACTCATGACCACAGAACACAGAAACACTACAGCCTTGGAGAGAAAGAATCTACTACCAGCATTGTGACACTATCCAACTGCTATAATCTGACATCAAATAAAACAGTAAGTATATTTAATTTGAGCAAATTAAAGAATAATAGACATAAATAAATACAGAATTTCAAATTTAAATAAACCATGAATACAACCACATGATTACATTATGCTAAAATAAAATAATACTTTTATTATTATTAAATAAACTAAATGATATTCCTGTCAATAAGTTTGCACTGAAGGAAATTTGTGTGTGTCAAAGAAGCATGTTGATTTAGTTAGCATTATCTACAGAGAAACTGAAAATGGCACAAACCCATACTGCGTGGCACAATAAAAAGAAAAGTAGAAAAGTAAAAGTAAAAAAAACAACAAAAAAAACAATCAACAGTTTTTGTGCCCAGGGCCCACGATCTCTTAATCCATCTATACTTTTCTCAGAACGGCACAGCCTCCATCTTCAGGGCCACAGACAATAGAGCGCCAATCAATAGAGCTGACATTGAAATGCAAGCAAACAGATTGAAGGTAAAGGATGCCATGGCAACAGGCATTACTGAGTCTCAAACTCGAAGGACAGTTCCATCAAAATGACTTCATTAGACAGTCTAACACTTTTATTTGCATGCATTTAATCCACACACACAAAAAACTAATCCACTTCAATTAACTTAGTACTTAAAGTTGCCAAAACAGCATTCGCAAGTAGATCTAGGAGAATTGTCTTAAAATGAAAAATTTTATTTTAATATCAATGATTTACCAAAAATGTAAAATATGTGAAAGGGCACAGATGGTGATTTTGTTCAAATCTGACTGCAAAACCTCAGAACAAGTACAACTTTTCAAATTAAGGGCCAGTTTTACTAAACAGGGCAAATTAGCGCAAGAATGCAAGTCCAAAACAGCGCCGAAGGGAGGGGAAATTTCTGCGGGCGATTCACTAACAATGCACAAATTAAAGAACACAGATGCAACATCTCATTTACATATCGACCAACGCAATATACCAAGCACAGCGCAAATTAGCGTTGTCGCAAATAAAGAATAAAATAAAGAAGCCACAGTACGTTGAAAAGGACCGGAGGACAAAAAATGAAGGTTTGCTAGAAGTTTTGATAGACCTGGTATTGCGTGACTCCTAGTTGAGGGTTCCAAGTCTTCTTTTATTTCCTGAAGCAAATTAAAAATAACATGTCTTGGCAAACGATATGTTCGGATAATGTGTTCTTCTGGCATTCAAAATAAATTAATAC